TGAACTGGGCACACTGGGCCAAACACATGCTGGAGAAGCCACTGCACAAGGTTTACACCCACCCAACGCATAAGCAGCTTAAAATAAAGAAAGAAGAGGGTTGGGGTGATGTTTTTTTTTGTGGGTTTTCTTTTAGGGATCCCCCTCTTGCTGCCACAGCCACCCCCCAAAGATGACAAAGCAGGGACAAACGAGGAGAACTCTGGGAACTTGGTGTATTTCCATGGGAGCACAGTTTGCATATTGACAGTCAGGTACTGGGGGGGTCACCCAGCACACCTAGCAGCATTCCAGTTCCTCACCAGTTGCAGGACAATTTGTAACCCAGTGGAGAGCTGGGCCAGGGGGGAATTACACTTCATGCCAAAAAAAAAAAAAAAAAAAAAAAAAAAGAACCAAAACAAAATAAAAACAAACCTTTGAATCCATGAAAACTACAGAACCTTTGGGAGTTTCTTTAGGCAAGTTTTTTTTTTGTTTTTTTTTTTTTTTTCCCTTAAGTGTCAAACGTTGGCTTCAAAGAAGCACAAGGAATATTTGTTATCCATTTGTTACATTCCAACATTCAGAGAGGCTTAAAAGAAAACAACTCAGGAGGAGCTTTGTTGGACGTGGACAGGACAGATTCAGCATCCTAAAGTCATTGCCAAGTTCTTCAACCACGAGGAATTAATGCTCATCTCTGAAAGGGATTTAGGTGTAGAAAAGGGAACGTAACGTCCAAGGTGACCTGGGGTGGGTTTTGCCCTCCCCAGTCCAGGGAAGTGGCAGCTAAAATTGCTGCTGGTCATACTCTGCTATCAGTTTTTTAATGTGAGCCAGTTTGTTGTGGAGGTATTCACAGCGATTCTTCTCTTGGCTGTAATTGGGATTAGTCTGGAAAGGAAAAGGAAAACGAAAAAAGATGCAAAGTGATTCTTCAGAAAGCAGCAATGCCTAAGTTGAGCCTAAAGGAGGTCACACCACAGGGCACAGAGGGAGAGGATCAGGGAATCTCACACTGCTTTGGCTTGGAAGGAGCTTAAAGCTCAGCCAGGTCCACCCAGGGACACCTTCCACCAGAGCAGGATGTTCCAAGCCCCATCCAACCTGGAATAGAACATTCCCAGGGATGGAACAGCCACAGCTGCTCTGGGAAATCTATTCCAACCCCTCACCACCCTCACAGGGAGGAATTCCTTCCCAATATCCCATCCAACCCTCCCTCTGTCCATGTGAAGCCACTCCCTGTGTCCTGTCCCTCCATCCCTTGTCCCAAGTCCCTCTGCAGCTCTCTTGGATCCCCTTTAGGCACTGGAAGGGGCTCTGAGATCTCCCTAGAGCTTCTCTTTTCCAACCTAGAACACTCCCAGGGATGGAGCAGCCACAGCTTCTCTGGGCAACCTGAGCCAGTGTCTCACAGGCAACACTTTCCTCTTAATACCTGACCTAAACTTCCCCTTTTTCAGCTTCAAGCTCTTGGTATGACCAAGCAATGAAACTTTTTTTTTAGATACCTGTTTAAAATGGATCTGTTCTGATTCCCTTTGCAGCATTATCCAGCCCAGGGAATGTGCACACACTGAGCTTCCAGCAAGCACCACCTCTGCCCCCACCTGAGCACAGCCAGTGCTTTGGGAGCTTGGGAATAAAAATAAACTTGCACCATGCAGGGAATACCTTCAAAAAGCTCCTAAATCCCTCAGGATGACAGGGCTCAGGACTATATCCATAGATTTAAAAGCAAAGCCCCAAAGCACCACTGGTGTGTGGATGCTTTGCATAAATCTCAGGAATTCCATGTGCTCCATCTCCCAAAAATCTGAGGGCTGTGTGTCCCAGAGTCTGAGCTCAGCTTGTCCCAAGCACCAGCAGCTCCCAAACCCCAGAGGTTCCTGTTATCCCTCAGCCTGTGCATCTGAACACAAACTGTTCCTTCCCTGGAGAGATAAAGGCCTTGGTTTCACACCCCCATTGTGCCATGGCTGAATGTTCCCAGGATCCATGGAGCACTCCCAGCTCCCCCCAAACCCCTTCCTGATCTGCTTTTCTTGGACAAGCTGGAGCTGAACAAAGATGTGCTGGAATTGCCTCAGAGTTTTCACTTGGCAAGTGTCCATCTCTTTCACTCACTCCAGGGGCACCACCCAGAAGCCTTTTTTGTGGCCTAACTGGTTTTCCTTACCTTTTTAATTTTCCGATATTCCTGTAAAATTTGATCATGGATGGTCTAAAAAAAAAAAATAATTAAAAAAAAGGATTATTTTCAAGTTCTGCAACTTACTGGAGTAGGTAAATATTGACTGATGGAAGAAATAGATACATTGAGATAAATTCCAACCAAAAGCTGCTTCTTTAGTGACATTCCTGGGAAGATCTGGGTACAGTTAGCATCCCTGATCCCACCAGTATCCTGCTGCTGATCCCACCAAAATCCTGCTGCTGATCCCACCAAAATTCCACCAGCAGCACTGGGAGCATCAGGCCCCACTCCCCAACCACAACAACTACCTCAACAGGCACCAAAATTCCAGCATCATTACCATTTCCAAAGCTCCAACTGCCTCTTCCCTCCAAGATCTAAACCCAATCCAATGAAGAATCACTGAATTTTGCAGGGAGAGGATTTCTGAGGGAGGAAAACTGCTCAGCACAATAGGTGCTCTGTAAAAATCTGTTTATTCTACTCTACGAGACTTCCTTTTTTTCAAGCTAATGAATAGCTAAACCCTCTTTAAAAATCCCTCTGACAAATCCAATAATACTCCATGATTAAGATCAAAGATTCCAGAGGAACAGATGACCCTGTGCTAACTCTCCTTCCAGCCTTGATACTCTCCCATATGTACAAAGAAGAGGTTTTTCTGGCTGGGATACACTAATAGCTTCCAGCAGCTTTTTGGCTAAGGACACCAATTGTCTCACTGAGGCCTTTCCTTGTCAACAAGTCCCATGATGTGTGTTCCAGCCCCAAAACCAAACAGCACAGAGCAGGAACACACCCCAGAGCTGTCAGCTGTGTGCACGTTCCCCACCAGTTTGGGCTATCACTCAACCCTCACCTCAGCCCAGATGGAGCAAACCAAGTTCTGGTGTTGTCCCGTGTCGGAATGAGCTCCTTGAACCATCTTTTCCTACCTTATATTCCTCAGAGCCTTGCAAAAGTTGCTTCAGCTTGGCATCCAGTTGGGTGAACCGTCGGGTTATCCTCTCTATCCGGGCGTGGAGGTCTCTGTACTCGTTGTATTCCGCGTTGAAGTCGTTTTTGTAGCTCTGACGTTGCTCCGAGGAGGAAATCGCGGCGTATTTTCTGTAGGGATAAGGAGGGAGGTCAAAGGGGGTTAGGGACTGCAAAGGTGAGGGTGGAAAGAAAAGTTTCTCATGGTTTAGGATTGTCTTTAGATGGATATTGGGAAGGAATTCCTCCCTGGGAGATGCTGAGGCACAGGTTGTCCAGAGAAGCTGTGGTAGCTCCAGTCCTGGGAGTGTTCAGGTTGGAAGGTGGAATTGGATGGGCCTTAAGGTCCTTCCAAAACATGCCAAGATTCCATGTGCTGGTTTAGATGGATATTGGGAAGGAATTCCTCCCTGGGAGGTGCTGAGGCACTGGCACAGGTTGCCCAGAGAAGTTGTGGCTGTTCCATCCCTGTGAGTGTTCCAGGCCAGGGTGGAGAAGAGAAACTCCAGAGAGACCACAGAGCCCCCTCCAGTTCCTAGAGGAGCTCCAGGAAAGCTGGAGAGGGACTTGGGACAAGGATTGGAGGGACAGGACACAGGGAATGGCTTCCCATTGCCAGAGGGCAGGGATTGATGGGATATTGGGCAGAAATTCCTCCCTGTGAGGGTGGTGAGGGGTTGGGATGGATTTCCCAGAGCAGCTGTGGCTGCTCCATCCCTGGGAGTGTTCCAGGCCAGGCTGGACAGGGCTTGGAGCACCCTGGGCTGGGGGAAGGTGTCCCTGCCCATGGCAGAGGGTGAGACTGGATGAACTTTGTGCTTCCTCCCAACCCAAACCATTCTGGGATTCTAAGATTAAGCCTGGAAAAGGCTTCCAAGCTCATCAATTGCAATCATTCCCCCAGCACTGCCAAGGCCACCACCAAACCATGTCCCCAAGTGCCACATCCACATCTTCAATCCCTGCAGGGATGATGATTCCCTGCTCCAGTGCCTGACCATCCTTTCCATGAAGAAATTTCCCCTAATATCCAATCTAACCTGCCCTGGTGCAACTTGAGGCTGTTTCCTCTCACCCTGATTTGCATTACAGTAGCAAATTACTGTCAGGATTATTGCCTTGACCCTCCTGTCCAACAAAACACAGTTTGCTCCCCAAACTTCCTATCTCTTTCCCAGATAGGCTGGAATCCTGCAGGTCCAGCAAAGCCTTGGGAGCAGCTGTGGGTGTAGGAGGACACTCAGATAGCACAGCCACAGCTTTCCTAACTCCTGCTGTCCCACAGAACATGCAGTTCTGC